AACCGATTACATATATTCCTACTCCGACACTGTACTCTATATACGAACATGAGCTGGAACCTTCAATAGCGAACCGTCGAGGCCGAATTCTGCAAGTCTTCACTTTGCGTGTGGCGAAGTTGACAGGCCGTGCAGAGTTCACAAACTCCTATGTGCTTCTAATCTAGATTCGTTTGTCTGATACAGAGCATATAATATGTTTCGGTCGCTTCTCAGCAGTGTTGGAGTATATGTTTAGTTTCTCCACCTGAGTGCAAAAGTTTCCTCACTAACTATACGAGTTCAGATGAGTGTGTGGGCAGAAACCATTGAGAATCTCTTTACAATTTTCATATTATTCCCAACACCACTGCTCTTCAGGGTCTTTCTCGCAGTGTTCGAGGCCTAGGCGCCAGTCTTCTCCTCGTGTCCAACCCGGTCGTACAGTACGTGGCACAAGTGTTGCTTAGGACAACTCTCGTGAAGGGCCGAAGAAAAGACAGTTATTCACTTCCCATTGTCGGTCGTGTTCGTATACACTTGCGTGTTAGTACTCACAGCAAAGGAGGCGTTTTTGGTCGGCGCGCTCGCTAAAGCTGTAGCGACAGTGGTGACGTATCCTCTCCAAGTGATACAAAGTCGATTGAGGGCGTCGCAGGGCAATAGTGAAAAACACGATGGTGATTCTAATGAAGTTTCTCATCGAGTAGATGTTAGTTTTTCGATAAGGTTTGATGTCGTGTACGCAAGATGTGATTCGCGAAAATGGAATTACAGGATTGTATTCTGGCGTGGGAGCGAAGCTCACCCAGACTGTCACTAACGCGGCTCTTATGTGAGTGAAGGGACGGCCTGCATTACACTTTACTGCGTGGGTTGATGGGAATGTGAAAATTTTGAGGAAATTTTGGGAAACTATTGTTGCTTCCTGAGCATTTCTACGCGAATTCGTATGTCCTGAGCTCTACTTAGGAACGCGAATGTAGTCAGAGTTGGTTGTCATCGAGATTTTAAAAAAGGCATTTTAAATTCGTAAATTCAACAAAAATTATGGCGTTTGATTTTTGCGGGTTTCTGCTAGGCTCCAATGTAGTATGGAATCTTTTATTGGAGCATTTTGCAGGTATTTGTTCATGGATAGTATAGACGCTCAAATGCGACGGAATATTGGTATGTGGTATATGGCCTGGCTGAGGATGATGCAGAATAGGAGGAAAAAATGATGATGATGAATAGTATCACATGAGAGTCTGTTTTTTGAAACCCGTAGAATTGACTTGTGTTCCACTCAGTCAGTTTTATAATTTCACAGTGTCGAATTCTGACATAGTATCACCAGTGTCGGAGAAATATGTGTTGTCGCATTCCTCAGCTGAGGAGTTTCTTCACTAATTATACGAAGTCGGGTAGAAGTTTACAGAAACCAGTGAGAATTTTCTGAAATTTCCTCACGGAAAACAAATATTGAACTCAATTCAGCTCGTTGACTAGACTTGAATTCATGTATGAACTCAGTTGTACAAGAAGCAAAAAGAAATCTGTCGAAATTTCATATCGTCACCAACACAAGTATATATAGGTTGATAAACTCTCCAGGAATTGAACCTGGATCGTTATCTCAATAACCATGGAGCTTAACCGTTAGAGCAGGAGAATACGCAAAAGCGCGCGCCCCTGTAGACCCGTCGTCCTGGTCATGCCCATTGTTTCGGCGGACTTGCATGATTACTACTACTACTGCTGCCACTACTGTGTGTAGTGCTTCCTCAGTGGTTGTTGACTCTCAAATGATGAGCACTTTCGCTCCTGCTCGCCATCTCACCCGTTGTTGTATCTCCCGGCTGAGTTGTGCTCGTTTCGTCTCAACTTTCGTCAACGTAATATTTGTTATTATTCCACGTTGTTTATATTCCCCTACATTCAGGTGGTCAGAGAACAGAATGATGCCTACACTAAGAAGGCCTTGAAATGCTATGAGGAGTCTAAGGATGAAGTTGATAGAAAACTCGACCCTGTAGGTCCTATATTATATCGATTTATATGTTGGAGTTTCTCGATCACCCGTTTTACGTGTAGTGAAAAACGCGATATCCGCGGTGATATGCAGTAGTCATGAAATGTGTCTTTCATATCACTAGGGTCAAGAAACTCCATTACTATATAGGATATTAGTTTTTCTACCATTAAAAAGGGCATTGTATGCAATATTCTTTTATATCAAGATTATATGTTTTCAATGAATATCTAATAATGCATTTAATGATACTTATTATTACGTTAATATAACTATGTTAGTATTATATATATAATAGTTTCACCCGCTCTACGTGAAGTAGCGCAAAACTCGGTGAAAAACGCGATATTCGCGGTGATATGCAGTAGTGTGGTTCATATCACTAGGCTCAAAAAACTCCAATTTATCAATCAATAATATCACTGTGTGTTTGGCTATCTGTTGTGTATAGGTATTCAACACGAATGCATTAGTTCTCTTTATGGACGGCACTGTTGATGCCCCCAAGGGCCAGCTCAGCTTGAACGTGGTTAAGATGCTCACAGAGGTAGTCTTGGGAAATAGCCGTCGAATTCGTGAGAAGTAGATTTCATTTCATCGATCAATCTTCTTTCGAATGATAAAAAAAATAGTTTTCCCGTGAACTCAGTTAAGTATATTTCTCCCCGTGTTTTCTGGTGGATTCATCAGATCGTTCGTCAGATCCAAGCTGTACCGTTGGTGACTGTAGACGTTACTGAGCATCCTGCTGTCACCGGGTAGTAGTTGCTCGTGAAATTTTGTTGCCTTGCCATCATCAGGTATACTGTTGCGAAGAGTGGGTCTGAGGTTACACCACATCTATATTACAATGGCAATTTTTATGGAGACCATGACAGGTGGTATCAGTGTTGGAGTGATATATGCTCATTTTTCTTAGCATCACTGATTATACGAATTCGGGTAGAAGTGTACAAAAACCAATGAGAATTTTATATTGTCAGCAACATATGTATATATTCTCTCACACGTGGTTTGTTGCGAAGTTTATCTGGATTTTCAGCATAAACGCT